ACACTATCACACAAGACAGCCAGCAGGAAAAGGAATTCACATTCTGGTTTCTTGGCTCCAGTTTTGATGGTTTATTCATGATCATACATTATCTTGAAATCATGTCTATTCACTAAAATTGCTGTATCCTTTAAAATTGTGCTACCCATATTACACATGCTAGTATCTAGCTTCTTTGCAGCCAACAAAATTTCCTGTTCTCTTAAGTATTTGGAGAAAGTTACTGAAAAGAGTTTGGCCAAAGAGGGGATGTGTTGGTTTTTGTGTCTGATTCTTAGATTTAATATGACCTTATATTAAAGTTACATATGTGTAATATTTACTACAAATATAATAATATGATTATAATGTTGCCTTATATAACTTTATAGCCAGTTTTTCAACATTAACAATCCTCCTAGATTTTAATTTAAATTGCATGAAATTCACGAACTAAGTTAAAAAGAATGAGTGTTTTAATGAATTTGTCTTTTACTTCATGAAAATAAAATATTTCACCATCTGTTTAGATCTTACTTATCTCAGCAGTGTTTTATAATTTTAAGTATGTAGGTCCTCTTATAGATTGTTAAGTGTATCCTAGTTTTCTTTATGCTTTTTACATGGTCTATTTCTAGGATATATAAGTACTATAGATTATTCTTAGCATGTTTGTTGGGTTTAACACATGGCATTTTTGTAAAAGTGAATAAGGTACTTTGATTGTAAGTCACCCCTCATACTATTGCTATTGCCCACATCACTGACCTTTTCCTCCTGCTGGTCTCAGTCTTATTGCCTAACAGTCCCTTCCTACTCTCATATCTTTTCCTTTAGATACTCCATGTATGAGAGAAATCTTGTGATGTGTGTTTCTGATTCTGGCTTATTTCACTTGACATGATGGATGATGGATTTTTGCATATTGACCTTTTTACTCAGTGACTAATAATCACACTTCCTATTTTTGATGGATTTAGGCTTAGAAAACCAGTACACAGAACAGAATCCCTTAGAATGCCTTGTGTAGGTAAAGAGACCCATTTCTTTTTTTCTTTTTTCTTTTCTTTCTGGTTTTTTGTTGTTGTTGTTGGTGGTGGTGGTGATGGTGGTGGTGGTTGTGGGGTTTAAACTCAGAGCCTGGACACTGATCTTGAGCCACTCTGTGCTCAAGGCTAGCTTGAGCAACAACACTGTCTCTGGTGTTTCAATGGCTAATTGGAAATAAGAGTCTCATGGGGACTTTTCTGCCTAGGCTGGCTTTGAACCAGGACCCTCAGATCTCAGCCTTCTGAATAGCTGGGATTATAGGTGTGAACCACTGGTGCCCAGCTGTTCCTTTACTTCTTAACTGTAAGCTTTTTATTCTATTTTCTTGTTTGATTGAGTTGGCAAGGATTTCCAGTACAATGTTGATCAGAAATAAAGAGAGTAGATACTCCGCCTTGTTCCCCATCTTAAAAAGACTGTATTTAGTCTGTCATCAGTGAGTATAACATGTCAACTGTTTTCATAGGCTCTATTCCTCAGCTTGAGGTACATTTCTTTTCTACCTAGTATTCTCAGAGTTTTAAATCAGTAGATGTTGGTTTGTGTAAAATGCCCTCCCTGGGCCTCTGAAAATATTCAGTGGCTTTTTCCTTTCATTCAGTTAACAGGTAGCTGCATGGAATTATTTCTTAATGTTATATCGGCTTCACATTTTAGGATAAATTACCATTTTAATGATATCTTTCTAATTTATTGTTGGATATAATTTGGATAATATATTTGTTAAGAAGTGTTCATCTATATTTATAAGTCATGTTAGTTAGATTGATTGTCTTTTATGTCTTTGGTGTGGAGATAATTCTTGCCTTGTAAAATGAATTGGGAGGCACTCTCTTTCAAAATTTCTAGAAGAGTTTACATAGGATTGGTATTATTTCTTCTTTAAATATTTGATAGAATACAATAGTAAATCCATCTGGGTCTGGAGCTTCAGTTTTCTGTGTTGGAATGATAAATGAATTCAACTCATTTAACACATTTAGGAATACTTAGTTGTACCACATATTTTTTTAGTCGGTGTAGGTATTTTTTATCCTTCATATTTTTCATTTGATCAGGTTTGCCAATCACTCTCTTTCTGTCTCTCTGTCTCTCTTTTTATCTCTCTGTACCAGCACTGGGGCATGAACTCAGGACCTGGGCACTGTCCCTTAGTTTTATCGTTTAAGGCTGATGCTCTTCCACTTGAGCCACAGCTCCATTTCAAGCGTTTTGATGGTTAATTGGAGACAAGTAGATAATGGACTTTCTGCTTAGGCTCGCTTTGAACTACAATTCTCAGATCCCATATTTCTGAGTAGCTAAGATTACCAGTGTAATCCACCAGCACCCAGCTTGATTTCTCTTTGAAGGCATATTCTTTTTTTTTTACTTCAGCTTAAGAATTAAAATACAATTATATTTTTGGTTCATATTAGCTCATGAAAACAAGCCCTCCTATCATGACATCTTAGTGATTGTATAAACCACTCCAAAATCATTTGACTACAATTTGATGCTAAAGAAAAACAATAGCTTAGTCAAATGCTGCGGCTCACACCTGTAATCATAGCTACTCAGGAGGCTGATACTCCAAAGATCACTATTTGAAGCCAGCTTAGACAGAAAAGCCTGCAAGACTCTCTCCCCCAAATAATGCCAGATTGAGGTATGCTTCATCTAATAGTAGAATGCTAACTGAGCAAGCAAGCTCAGTGAGTGTGAGGCTCTGAGTTCAAACCCAGGTGCTGGCAAAAAAGAAAGTAAAAACTTTAATACATCTTTATATTGACCTAGAAATGTCAACTGCAGGGTTTTATCCCAGAAATCTCATGGTCAATGTCAGGGATTTATTCCAGAAATCGAACTGCATACATAACTTAAAAATTTCTAAGAAAGTTCATACCAGCAATTTTCATAATAGAAATGGAAACAACAAAAATTAATAGGGAACTGGGCGCTGGTGGTTCACGCCTGTCATCCCAGCTACTCAGGAGGCGGAGATCTGAGGATCATGGCTCAAACCCAGCCTGGGCAGGAAAGTCTGTGAGACTCTTATTTCCAATAAACCACCAGAAAACCAGAAGTGGTGCTGTGCTCTAGCGGTAGAGTGCTCACCTTGAGCTGAAGAGTACAGGGACAGTGCCCAAGCCCAGAATTCAAGCCCCACGAATGACAAAAATAGCAATAATAATAATAGTAATAATAATAATAGGGGGTTAGCTAGTGAAGAATACAACAGCCACATGATGGAATATTATATGAGGAAAAAGAAGGTGGAACAATGCATGTCCATATGGGAAGGTATCTTCTGTATGTTATTAAGTAGGAGAGGAAAGGTTGCAAATCAATTTTTTCACAGCATTCTTTTTGCAAGAACATGGAGTTCCATGCTTAGAACATTTCTGTAAAATTATATGACACACTCATTGGGCTTGAGCAATTTTAAGGAATTGGGAAGGAAGCTTATTTCCAATTTTACCCTTCGGCACCAATTGACATTCTCAGATTTAACAGGCATACTTAAAATGAAAACCCAAACTCAGATAAATGTTTTATAACTCTTACGTTTTCTGTCTTCTCCAGCACCAAGCAGATTTGCAATTTACATTTTCGTCAGTTATTCCAAGTTGTGAATATAGCTGCTTGTGGAGGCTTCCTTCTGCTCTCCCCATTTGGAAGCGGCCCAGCCAGTAATCAGATACAAACGTGTCTGCTAGAACCTTTCCTGAAAGCAGACAGATGCACGCATGCACAGAAAAGGGAGAGCCCGTGACACTGCCCAGAGTGGTACACTAGGGGCAGAACCTCTCCATAGCCTTCTGTAAGGTTATGGAGCTCTGGGAAATGAATGGAGGGGGTCGGCGTTCTTCGTGGAGATGGGAGCCGTTGATGAAGGTATTGACAAAGCCTGGTATATAGAGGCTTTTGTGAACGTGGATGCAGGATTTTATTTTTCAATTTTTAATTAATTAGTTTTTGCTTTCAACGGATTTCATTTTATTAGCCACTTGTGGAGGTAGCATGACTAGATTTCTGATTTATGGGTTACTAATGACAAGGTCAAGGGAGGGGGTTATGGTGACTCCCCAAGCCCTGAGCAGGGACTCACTCACACCTGTTACCCTGGCTGGGAAGTGTCAGAGTCAGCCTTGTCAAACAGTCCTGGAAATTTTTGGGAGTGGGAATGCATGGAATGGTAAGGGACAGCTCCAGCCCCGGAGAGATGCATAAAAATGCAAGACTTTATTTAAAAAAAAACTAAATTAAAAAGGGCTGGGGATTTGGTTCAAATAGTACCTGGGTTTGGCCTTTAGTACCACCAAGAAAAAGCAAGTGAAGTTACTGATCAGATAAAACACAGAGACTAGTTCAGAGGAGAGCCTCTTCCTGTATACAGGGGTTCTGCCTGCTGGTAACACTTGGTTACCACTAACCCAACGCAATCTCATCGATTGAATCCATCTTTTTGGATCTCCATGTGTGTTCGATACAGCTCAAATACCTTCTGTTTCCCTTGATCAAATACAGAGCAACACAGGATATTTGGTATCATGTATGTATACAGGTTTTAGAGTCAATTAAGGTGTCTTCTGACATAACAAAGAATCTAAGCTAAAGAACCAAAAAAGGCAAATTGCTTATGGTCTAAGACATCTGAAAATCTAGAGTTAGAGCCTTGGGGGAAGGTTCGTAAGAAATCCCTGGCTGAGAAGATCTCAGAGTTTTTCAATAAATGAAAATTTTCAAAAGTTCTACACCATAATTGGTCAAAAATGGAAATAGCTAAAAGGTTTTTTTTCTGTTTTTCCCTAGACTGATTGTTGAGGGATTTATTGCACATGAGCTAATTAAGAACAGGTACTTCAGTGACTAAGAACCCATGGGAAGAAGAGAGGGAAAGGAAACGACAAAGAGGCATGTCTTCCTCTCTGCATAGTACCATTGTTACTGGATTGTGTTTCTCTGTGAGGAAAGTTTCCTTCTTCACCATGAATGGAAGTAGTGCAGGTTATGTGTGTGAAGTACTAGCCAGACAGGAGCTGCCCTCGCTGAACCCAGAAAACAGTAGAGGTAAGTAATTTCTCAAGGGTTCTCTGTGAAGGAGAGAATAGGGAGGATCATAATGGACCGATGGGGCCAGTCTGCCTTCAAGGACCAAGGCAGGTGAAGCCTTGGAGAGGGACAGGAGAGCAGCAGAGTGGGTAAGATGGGCACTGGCCCAATCTTTCCCTCCCTTAAGAGAGAACTTTCACCTCTCAGCTGGACCAACACTGGGTATAGCACAGCTTCCTGATGCCTGTGAGCCTCCTTCTCTCCCACTTCTCTTCATTAGTGTTGGTTATGCAGAGGTTTTGGAAAAACAGATCACTATGCTTGCCTTGTGGTTCTGTCTGTCCTTGAAGTCTGACCATTCAGCAGTAAAATAGCCACAGAGAACTAGAGAGGGTTGTCTTAGGAAAGACAAAGGCAAAGTAAAATAGTAATGAAACATCAATCTATCTATCCGTCTATGATAGATGTGATGATATATGATAGCAGCTATCTATATATGTGCATACAAGTATATATATGTACACATTTATATATAAATGTTACGTGCCATCTTTGAATACATATTTAAAGAAGACATCTTTATCCTTGTGGAATTTATCTATCTTCTCATGTCAGAGATGAAGATTAAATAAAAATTCTGTTCCTCTTCCTTGCCTTGTTTTTTTCCTGTATAGTGTAATGATGTATTCTGTGTTATGTTTGATTTTTTATGTATCCCCTCCACTCCCAATCTCCCTCTATGACTATATAAAGTCCAGAGGGCAGTATTTTCAGTGTTTTCTTCATGGCTACATTTGTTTAATTAGGAGACATATAATCTGAGGTGATAGCATGTTCTGGAGGAAACATTAAGGTCCAATAATAAACTTGCCTTCTGTTTTGGGTGATTGGAACAAGAACTTTGAAGAGGTGAACCTTTGAATAATGGGATAAATGGAGTGATAATGGGGAGCCAGGGGTTGTAGCTGCTGACCGCTTGGGACTGTTTCTGGTCCATGCCAGGTAATGTCTTTCCTCCCATCAGAACTTGCGAGGATAAAATGAGTTAGAGAAGAGTGGATCTGCTTAGGAAAATTACCCTGTTACCTCTGTGTTTTCATGCAGTTGCATTACTGCTCTGAAACGCGGGGATTTGAACATCTGAGTACATCAGTTGATCCTTGATCTCAACATGAGTCTTTTTCTACTGACCTCAACATGGGTCTAAACATTTCCATTTTTGCTGAGGCCTGAAGCTCAAAGTTGTATCCTTAGAACATGCTGCACAACAAATTTAGGTCCTCTGATGAAGTTATCTGAACAGAAACCAGGACAATCCCAGGTCCACAGGGGCTGTTACTGGCAAGCTTCAAAATTAGCCAGTTAGCAAAATTGGTTAAACACCTGTAGAAAACTAAACCTAGATCCTTATATATCACCCTGCACCAGAATCAACTCCAAATGGATCAAAGATCTCAAAGTCAAAACAGACACCCTGAAAACATTACAGGAAAAAAAGGAGAAACTCTAGGACTCCTTGGCACAGGCTGAAATTTTCTTAATAAAGACTCAGAAACACAACAAATCAAAGAAAGGTTGGACAAATGGGATTGCATGAAACTGCAGAGTTTCTGCATGGCAAAGGACATAGCTAGCAAGATCAATAGAAAGCCCATGGATTGGGGAAGATCTTCACTAGCCATACAATGGACAAGGGTCTCATATCTAAAATATACCGGAACTCAAAAAATTAAATCCCCTAACAACAAATCCTCAAAGAAACAACTGCCCAATAAATAAGTGGGCTAAAGACTTAAAGAGAAACTTCTCTGAAGAGGAAAGAAGGATGGCCAATAGACACATGAAGAAATGCTCAACCTCCCTAGTCATAAAAGAAATGCAAATCAAAACAACATTGAGATACCACCTCACTCCAGTTAGAATGGCTATAATCAAGAACTCTAATAACAACAGATGCTGGAGGGGATGTGGACAGAAGGGAACCCTACTGCATTGGTGGTGGGAGTGTAAACATGTTCAACCACTTTGGAAAGCAGTATGGAGGTTCCTCAAAAGACTCTACATAGAGCTCTCCTAGGACCCAGCAATCCCACTTTTGGGCATTTACCCAAATGATCACAAACAAAGTTATACTAAAGCTACCAGCACAACAATGTTTATTGCAGCATTATTTACCATAGCTAAGATATGGAACCAACCCAGATGCCCCTCAGTAGATGAATGGATCAAGAAAATGTGGTATACATACACAATGGAATTCTATGCCTCCATCAGAAAGAATGACATTGCCCCATTTGTTAGGAAGTGGAAAGACTTGGAAAAAATTATATCAAGTGAAGCATGCCAGGCCCAAAGAAACATAGTTTCGCTTATTTGCAATAACTAGTATATGTCTAGGACAAGCAAAAATGGTAAAAAAAAAAAAAAACTATGTATGTATGACCATATAAGATGAAGTTAAGTGAAATGAACCCCAAGATAGGGACACAACTGGTTTTTTCTTTCTTGCTATTCTTTTTAACATATTTAAAATGTACTATGTGATTTTTTGTTTATTTCGTATGTTCTTCCCCCATGGTCTAACTCCTGTTTTCGCTATATTTGATGTTGGTGCCCTGCATCTTGTATATAGGTTTTTCTAATTTGGGGAGGGGAAGGGAAATAACAAAATGCTGACATAAGGATACAAGTTGACTGATTGTAACAATGAGATGTACAAGACACTATATCGAAAACAAACTTTACAACTTGTAGGGAGGGGGGAGGGAGGAGTTAGGGAGGTGGGGAGGGAAGGGATGGTAGGGGAAAAGCAAAGGAGGAAGTAACAATGCTGGATAGGAAATGTACTCATTACCATGCCTATGTAACTGTAATCCCTCTGTACAGTATTTCTACAATAACAAACATACGTAAGAAAAATTAGCCAGTTAGAATGTTATAGCCTCCGACCCCTGGGATTAGGCATGGCCAGTGGAAAAAGGGTTAGGAAGGAATAATGGACTTCCCCATACACATAGAGAAAACATATCTCCACTTATTCAGGCAGCTCGTCCACAGTAACGTTAAGATCCCTACGTAGAGCACATACCAAAGCACAGTAGCGGACATGTCATCTAGCCTTCAGGTTGGCAGTTATTTCTTCCTTGTCTGTTGGGATCAAGACCATCTGAAGCAATGCCACGTCTCTTTCAATGTCTGGGTTTTATGAGAAACAGAAGCAAGACCTAAATGATGAAGTCACTCCAGGGCCACTGAATTCTCCCTCCTAGGCTTTCCTAGATCCCAGGAGCCACAGCACATTCTCTGTACGATATTCCTTTTGCTGTATTGTGTCATTCCTGGGAAACACGATTATCATGATTGTGTTGACAAACGCCTGTGGTCCCCCATGTATTTCCTCCTTGGCCACTTCCTGTCCTGGAGATCCTGCTCACAACTATAATTGTTCCTGTGAAACTTTGGGGTTGCTGATCTCTGGAACCCAGAAAATACCTCTGAATGGCTGTATTGTCCAACTTTTCCTGTATCTCTCTCTCTCTCTCTCTGGGGACCGCTGAGCTTTGTCTTGCTCAGAGCCATGGCTGTGGACTGTTTTGTGGTTGTCTGTAACCCTTTGAGGTACAACGTATTCATGAGCAGCTGCACCTACATCTGCATGGTAACTGTGTCATGGGTACTTGGGTTCCTTTCTGAAATCTGGCCAGTCTATGCCACCTTTCAATTCACTTTCTGCAAATCACATGTTAAATAGTCCATTTTTACTGTGACCGAGGACAGTTGCTCAACCTCTCCTGTGATGACACTCTTCTGACAGAGTCCATCCTTTTTCTAATGGCTGTTTTCATTATCATTGGTTCTTTGAGCCCTGCAGTCTTCTCCTACATCTCCATCATATCCATCATCTCCAAGATCCCCTCAGCCTCTGGCCGGAGGAAAGCTTTCTCTACCTGTCAGGACTACCATCACAGTCCTCTATGAGCTTTTCATTCAACCTATTAGACTCTAAGATTTCCATTTATAATTTAGACATTTTTGTTGCCATGATACTTCCTTTTGCTTCTTGAGTAGTGTCTGCTTTCATTCTTTGAATGTATTTACCATGTCTTCTTTAAAGTTAAATGTGACCTCAGTCCACTCCCATATGTGGATTCTGTCATCTACATTTCCTCCTGTGGGCTACATATTCCCGTTTCTTTGGGGTTGTTCCACATTTTGTGGTAAGGTAGACATTTTAGAGAGTGAGTTGTTCATTCTGAATAGCGGTACCTGATCTAGAGGGGTTTGGGCTTGTAGCTTTCTAATCAGTCTGACTAATGTCTTGGATGGACTAGCTTAGTGGCCTCCACTTCCCTCCCTGAGCGCTCTGTGCTGTCTCTCCCCTGGGAACACAGATCCACACACCTACACAGCATCCTGAGGTGACACATCCACCTCCCGGACCCCACTGATGGCCAGATGATGATTCTACTGTTTATATCATGTCTAGAGCCACATGCCACTTCACAGGCTTGTCCAACCAAGTTCTGATTCCTTTTCAGAGTTAATTTGGCGGCCAGAATTCGAGAGTTGTTCCCATTCAAGGAAGACATTTCCACAGTATTTGATTCTGGTGTCCTGCATCTTGTATATACATTTTTCTAATTTGGGGAGGGGAAGGGAAATAACAAAATGCTGAAACAAAGATACAGGTTGACCCATTGTAACATGAGACATACAAGACACTATGTTGAAACTTCACAACTTGGGTGGGGGGAGGAGGAGTTGGGGAGATGGGGAAGGAAGGGATGGTAGGGGAAAATCAAAGGAGGAGGTAACAATGCTTGATAGGGAATATACTCATTACCTTACTCATGTACTCATGTAATTGTAACCCCTCTGTACAGTGTCTTTACAATTAAAAAATTTATATATAAAAAGGAAGACATTTCATTCTTTCTTCTTTTGGATCTCTCCATTACCCTTTGTAGTCTATAATCTGTCTTGTAGTTCTTATGAATTTATCATCCTCCTTTCTTTGGGTGGGGGGGGGCAGGCTTTGCGCTAAAACATTCATTGTTTCTGAAAGCACCCATGGACTTGAACTTTCCCAAACTCTGTTGTAAATAAAGGCAGTTTTTTAGGGCTTTTGGTTTTGTGCCTTGGATTTTCCACTGGGCAAATTATTTAGAACTGAGGGTGGGCACGGTGATGGAACTTTGTATTCGTGACACTTCTGCTTTGGTTGCAAGGTGCTAGGCATGGAAATAGCTTCTTCTTGGCTCATCTCCTTTGGAGTGGAACTTCCACCATATGGGCAGTGATGATTGGGGGCCTGCATTATCAGAGATGGAATTTCTGCACCATGAGTGAGGAGTGGGTAGAATGAAGGAGCCTCTGGCCTCATCTCTCTCCTCTCCTGGAAATTAGCGTATGCACCATGTAGCTGGGGAAGGATTGAGAAGTTCTGCCTACCTCCTGCTTCTAAGAAGATACTATCTATAGCTCTCGGTGGAAGCTGGGGAACACGGAGCCCAGTGTTCTAGCTGTACATCCCTGGGAGGGGACTTTCCACCACACAGAGCTAGGAGGAGGGAGAAAGAAAGTGAGTTATGGCTCCAATGTCACCGACTCTCACTGCTCTTACTGAGTTTTAGTAGATTTCATGAATAAATGTTGCATTTATGCCATTAGTACAAGGTCAAGAGTTTTTAAGTGTCTTTCTTTTTTAAAATGTCCACTGTTGTTATAAAAGTGATGTACAAGCCGGGTGCCAGTGGCTCACACCTGTAATCCTAGCTACTCAGGAGGCTGAGATCTGAGAATCACGTTTCCTGAGCAGGAAAGTCTGTGAGAATCTTATCTCTAATTAACCACCAGAAAACTGGAAGTGGCTGAAGTGGTAGAGTGCTTGCCTTGAACTGACGAGTTCAGGGACAGCGCCCAGGCCCAGAGTTCAAGCCCTATGGCCAGAAAAAATAAAATAAAAATAAAAGTGGTGTACAGAGGGGTTATAGTTACGTAAGTCAGGAAACTAGTTCATTTCTTTTTGGACAATGTCAGCCTCGCACTCTCTTTAAGTGTCTTTCTTAAATAATAATGTCCAATAATACTTCAGTGTCCAGAGAGTCTTCAGGATTCTACCCATAATCTGAACTATTTAAATCATGCACCAGTAGTTCCAATATTTGGATCAATTCTCCATTGACTTCTTTTTTTTTTTGTCTGGTCATGGGGCCTGAACTCTGGGCCTGGGCGCTGTCCCCCAGCTCTTCAGCTCAAGGCTACGTGCTCTACCACTTGAGCCACAGTGCCACTTCTGGCTTTTTTGTTCTGCTTATGTGGCGCTGGGGAATCGAACCCAGGGCCTCATGCATGCAAGGCAAGAGCTCTACCACTGAGCCACCTTCCCAGGCCTCTCCATTGACTTCTATTGCTCTTTTCTGAAATTGGATGTTCCTCCCCCTTCCCACTTTTTCTTCTTCTTCTTCATATTTGATTTTTTAACCTAAATTCTATACACTGTATATAGGACACTCAAGTCTGAAGCAGACAATATTTCCTCCCAGAAATGCCCAATATTTTCCTTTGATCTCGATAAAAGTTTAAGGAGTTCTGCCAATCTTGTCAGAAAGCTGAGCTGAGTTTAGATATTTGATCATCTTCAGTGAACATTATGCTTTAAATTTCTTTAGGTGGACTCAGAGTATTTAAGCTGATATAAATGCTAGTTTCAACACAAAATAATAAACCTCTTAATACAATATTGCAAGATATTTAAAATATTCACAGTGACTTTGACGTCGATCTTTCCATGGTCTAGCTAAATAAATAATATTTATATCTGGATAATCTCTTAATTCTTTGGTCATTATTTCCAATATGCTGAGACAATATTATTTTAGCCAACCAATTTGTTCACTGACCTTTCTTCTGAATATATTTCCTATTATTCTCAAGGCCACAAAGGTGTACGGTTCAGCATTGTCTGGAACAATTTCCAACAAAACTGTACAGGTATACACATTATCTCTCTCCTCCTCTCTCTCTCTCTCTCTCTCTCTCTCTCTCTCTCTTTCTCTCTCTCTCTCTCTCTCTCTCCTTCTCCCTCTGCTCCTCAAACTTTGTGCCAGTCCTGGTGCTTGAACTCAGAATGGAGGCACTATCAGTAATCTTTTTTTTGCTCAAGGCTAGTACTCTGCCACTTAAGTCCCAGCTATTTGGGGAGTTAGTTGGAGAGAGGAGTCTTATGGGTCTTCTTGCTTAGGCTGATTTCAAACTGTGATTCTCAAACCTCAGCCTCCTGAGTAGCTAGAACTGTAAGCGTGAGCCACTGATGCCTGGCTTGCCCATGCGCTCTTAATCTACCTAAACATCCAGGCAAATTTTTCCATAGAGTTAGAACTAGATACCATTCTGAGTTTTATAACTGTTTTCTCTCTCTCTTCTTTCTTTAGCCCCAGAAAGACTTTGGCACATTTCTTTTTGGAATAAGACAGAGGGGACAACCCTTTTTCTTTTAACTTTTGCTTTTACCTCATACACTTTTTGAGACAAGATGCTAACTGAGCTGTAGCCCTACACCTGCAAGCAGTTGAACAATGTCTTTATAACTTCTTTGAAAATGTCCTTGATGTTGGCACTGTCTAGTGACTGAAGCCAACTAAATCTGTCTACGAGACTTCTCTCACACTGAGGGTCATCTCTTAGGTGACTTTTTGGGAGCTCCTGGTACTCTCTCACCGTTCCTTCTAGAAAGCCACTGTTGTGTCCCGCTTCCAGCAGCTCACAGCTTCCCCTTCTACACAGCATTGCTCTTGGCTGGACAGGAGCCAGCTCAGGAGAGAGGCTTACATTCCACTTTTTCCTAATGAAAGCCCACATACCGAGACAGGATGACTGACGGTGACACAATAAGTCATTTGATTTATTTCACCATGAGACCAACTCTTTGGAGCAGTTTCCCCCCAAACATCCCACTGGGCAAATCACCTCATCCTTGATTAGTATTTTAAGTGTGCTGAGATCGCACGGTCTTCAACAAGGGAACAGCTTTGGTCAGCTTCCTTTACTTGTCCTGTATTCCTACAGTAAATCATTTACGTAAGAATCTCTGTCTCAGGCTGTGTTCTAGGACCTTCAGTCCATGCCATGGATAGCAGAGGTGTCTTGAATGCAGATCTGAAGATAGGTCGAGATTCTGCAGCCAGATATCAATGGGTATCCCATCACTAGAGAGACTGATAGACCCTTGGACGAGTAGATGATGAACAAATGAATATTAAGATTTTTCTCTCTGGTTTGCTAGTGTTTGAGAGGTCCAGGGAGGTAGTAACTGTGAGGACAGTAGAGCTTGGTGGGTTTTGCTAAGCACTGTTGCTGGGATGATACAGCGCTAGACATAGCCCTATGAGCAGCAATGCATGAGAGTGAGTTAGCAATGTATTGGTCTGTTTTCTTTTGTCATAACAGAGGACTTGAAACTGGATACTTTATAATGATAGACTTCTTTTGCTCACAGTTCTGTAGGTTCATGAGCATGACCCTAACATCTGCTCCACTCTGGTGAGGTTCATGGTAATGGCATCAAAAATGGAGTGTGTGCAGAGAGGGGTCACCTGGTAAGGCCAGGAAGCAAAAGGAAGAGCCAGGATGTCCCAGATAGCTTGACATGTACCAACCGGTTCTCCCATGGAGTCACGCACTGTGAGGCCAACCTTGGTGGTCCCCTTCTGACTTAATTAACCTTGGGATAAAATTTCTGGGTTGATGCAGTTGAAACCTTGAACACCAGATTCTTCTGGAAATCCTCTGCCTGAGGAAATCATTAGCTCTCTTATTGGAAGAGATAGGCCCGGCCCTTCTCTGATGTTAGGAATATGCAGAGTTCAAATAGAGATAGGTACTGTGTTTCCCTGCCTTAAACTCTCCAGCCATTTCTTCACTTTCTACCAGATTCATACATAGAGTTGATACCAGGAAGAGGTAAAGCTGCTCACAGA